TGAAGGAGGTAGACGAAATCCGACTCCCGGAGAGAGATTTTTCTATAAACCAGCAGCTGCGACTGTTATAGATTTTAATAGGCAGAGATATTCGAATGGTTTGAAGTATGCTCGTAAGACAATGATTCGCATTGGGATGTATCTTAACGTAAACGGGATCTGGGATGAAAGCCAATTGTCCAACGATCTCCTGCCCATAGTGGCAAAACACAAGACCATTTTTTGAAGGGCAAGTCATTGATGAAAAATATGTGGATTTCTGCCGAATCTAATTTGGAACAACCGAAAATAGCATCGGCTAATGTATTTAAGAACCAAGCCACAATTAACTGAGGTGCGTAACTATATTAGACTATGACAATTCTGTAGTATAATCACCCCCAACGACGAGGGGGGTGAGTACTGACAGTTCGGAAAGACCCCGATCGGCGGGAAGACAGAAGCACGGCCCACCTACGGTACCGAGCACGGGCTCGAGGTAGTGGTGGTAGAGCGGGATCGGGGAGGACGCGCGCACGCGCGAGCGGTTCTATGCCTCGACGCCCCGGAGCGGTACTGGGTCACGATCCAGTACCGACAGGCGGAGGCGGAGCCGGCTCGTGGGCGTGCTGCGCGCGTCCTCAACCCGCGCGCGGTGCTACTCCTAGGTAATACGGACGGAAGTACCTGAAAGTAAGCGGGCGGACCAAGGTGGAGGATCCTTGACAAGTCCGTGCTTCTCGCCCTCCACCGCCGGCGGTCCGCTCATATTCAATATACAGAGTAACTTATCATAGCATTACAGTTGTGCAGATCGGCCTGCACTGTAGTGCTGTCAGCCGTCGGGGCTGGCAGCACACGTGTCGTACACGTGTGTGCGCGCGCCCCCGTACACGTGGGGTTCACGTGCGCGCGCGCGCACCGAAGTACTGTAGAGCTCGGGCTCTACAGTTACAAATCTAATCTAAATCTAATACGGGGAGGGAGATATTGTCTCCTTCCCCGTATTAGATTTAGATTAACCTCCAAACCCGAATTTGTAGCATAATATGCTACAAATTCGGGTTTGGAGGTTGGTTTTTTTGTGGTTCCTTTTTAGATTAGACCAATCTAATTGCTGTGATCGGTGTAGTTCTGAGGTGCAGGGAAGAAGAAGCGTGAGGGTGGAATAAAGGGGGGGGGGGGGGGGTGCCCACGTTTCGGACAGTGACAAAAAATCGGACATGCCAAATATTTTGGAAAAACATCTCCGACAAGTGCCAAGGTGCAACGCAGCTGCATAACGGCGCCAGACAATGCGCCGTATCTCAGAACGACGTGGTTGAACTTAGAGAAAGAAAATCTCAATCGATTGTTCACAGCTTTCTACCTATAGGATCTTATAGGTAGAAAGCTGTGAACACTCGAGTGTAGCAGCCCAAGCACACAAAACGGGCGGCTTTCATTTTTTGGGAAATATCACGATTCGTTGGCGAACTCGTGCCATTTGGCTTTATCAGTAGGCTAAGTTGGGAAAAGTAGCAGTTCAGTAGGAGAATGAGGGAAAAGTGGCAGTTCAGTAGGGGAAGCAGCCATTGCATGCGGAAATTACCCACCGTGACTCAAACAGTAGGGGAAAAGACCAAATGGTAGGGGAACTGCCTGACTGTGGCGAAAGAAGTAGGCAAAAACAAAGTAACACATGTAGTAGGCAAAAACGCTACTTCAGTCATCTTTAAACAGCTGACGCAGTTCACATTTGCGAGCAGTATCTCCCTTTAGGTGGCACAGAGAGCAGTAGTAGGAGAGTTTTCGAGCCGCAGGCCCGGATTCATACCACGAGCGCATCCGTTTCCCCGCATTTTGGACTGGCCTCCCGCGCGGTGGAGCAAGGGCAACTGGAATGTTGATGGTAGAACCAGACAAAACTTGCTCCTGAGCATCTAGAACCACTCTATCGACGTCTGCTTGCAGCGGCATCCCTAACATCAGCCCTTCGTACTGTTCTTTCCAAGCGACTGTTAGATTTTTAGGTCCAATAAACTTGAACAAATTCATCGTCCCATATTTCTGGCAGAGTACGGCTGTTCCGTGCCAACAAGGAAACAGAGCCCTGTCGAAGGAATAAGCACAACACTCACGAGGATTCTGCTGTTCGTTGCTGAGAACTACTCGCCTTGTTCTGGTACCATCCATTTGACTAATCACGGTGGCTTCCATAAGGTCTGTTCCATCTAAAAACGTCACATGCGCTTGATAGGGCCTTCCTAGACGAATGAGGGATGCTACATGCCGTTCTACTTGCGGAGGGACCGGGGCCTTGCAATTTAGAGCTATATTTTGCCGTTTCAGAAACCAATTTCGCTGCGACTCGAGGACTGTTTTCAGCATTGACTGTGGTTCCACACTTCGGATTTGATTCCTAAGTGAGGCACTCATTTGGCTTTCCCCGCCCTGCGTGGAAGTCACTAGATCCTGCAGTCCAGCATATGCCCTGTAAAGATCACTATTCGGAAATCGAGACAGATATTGGGCGGTTCTCTGCCCATAAGTCCGTTTCACTGCGTCAACAGCACTCTGTGATGTTGAATGAACAGCTCGTTGGTATTGAGAGATACCGGCTGCTTTTTCCTTACCAATGCCTTCATCATGTTTTTCTTAACATACAAAGGGTCGAGGAACAGTTTGGCATATTCCATGACATTTTCAAAGGAGCAATCAATGGACTTTTCTTGGTCCACAATAGTAACGCGGCCTTGAACATCAAACCCGGACACCCTCTTCAAATTCGTAAACACCATGGTCCACGATTCTTCGCATTCAGGGCCGACGGTGTGCGCAAACAATAGCCGTACTAAATTGTGGTTAGCATCGTAGCCAACAACCTCATAAGTTGTGCCGTATGACTGCGGTCCGCACCCCTGACAGTGTGAAGCATCAGCGGCTGTTATTGCTCTCCCATATTTGCAAAAATGGCTGGCAATGCTAGAGACGAACACGACGCCTGAATAATATTTCCTGCCATCTACAATGTCCGAATAGTCGACAACTTGGTGGTCAAATCTTGCCTCATCAGGCACGACCTCGCCTTTCTTGAGTTGTCCAAATATGAACCTGGCAGCCTTAAGACGAGTTTGCTTCATTTCGTCGGCAGAACATGTAAACATTTCGACAATATGACCCAGTTCCTGTAAAAGTATGGCATATCCCTCCATAGTTGCCATATATTCTAGGCGATTGGCCGTCATCATGCGTGATATCTCGGTCTTGACGGAGCGAAAGTGACGTAGACCTGGTTGACGGGTGTATATCCGTTTTGCAGTCACAATTGAGACGATAAATTTAGTTGTCAAGGACGGGGTTTCTTTTAAATCTGGAAGAACCAATTGGTTCTTCCAGATCTAAAAGAAAACCCGTCTTTGACAACTAAATCAAACGAAACAAGTGGCTCGATTAATCGAGCCACTTGTTTTGCCGTATAGGCAGGGGTGCAATTTCGCCTACTATTTGTGTCACTTGCAACGTTTTGCCCTAGACATGCAGAAACATGGGCTTTGTACTCACGCAACTTCCATCCACCAGTTCTTGTTTTGTACGCACGATTGCTTTCACGTACTCTTTCAAATGTTTCTGTATTAAGCTGCGATTCGTTCTCAAAGAGGGGTTTGTTTGGTGAGATTGTAGCCTACCGAGGAGTGTGAAGTGATTTTTTTCAAGTTTTGTCCGTTAAAAGATGGCGCTTTGGATTCTGAGACAAACACAATACTGTCATCGGAACTGCTATTGTCATGATCAGGACTGCGGCTCCGGCATGCAGACCTTTTCATGTACTCATCTGATTCACGGGAGCCCCCTTTTTGCATAAATTCTTCTTCTTCGCTGGGAAAGAAACCGTCAAAAAGGTCGTCTAGATCCTCTCTGAATGCATCAGACGGATCACCCTCTTGAAATGGAACATCTTCAGTCGTAGTAAAACCATTGAAGCAAATATCTCCTGGAATTAGGCAAGATCGTCTTCCTCCATGGCTATCTGCATACTCTTTGGCCAAATCAAAGCATTTTGATATTTTTGCGTGCAGCGAGTGGCCTCTTCGATATTACCAATCATTCCCTTGTTTGGATAGACCCGGAGGCATAGATTCAAATAAGCACGTCGAATGTTGGATAGCGAGATGCTCTCCTCGGTATTACGTGGGAAGAATACCTTCAATACGGAAATATTTTCCGGGATCGCAGTGATTCTCTGTAGCTCGTCCTCAGTACTCATGTTCAGTAAGGGGAAGAGGACTCAAGAGCAGTATGGGAATGGGACAGGTTTAGGGTTACCAGAAGACTTCAAGATCAGTGGGGGATAGGGACGATGCGGGCAAGATCAGTAGGGTAAACGTACCTGTAACAAATATGGATGGGGTTTTGAGGAACGCCTACCGATTCTGTCATTTTTCGTATTTAGCCTACGGAAAAGTGACCTTGCAACGGATTCTTCTACTAAATCTGTCAAAAAAAACATTCGCCTACTGAATCAGTTCTTTTTTCCCGTTTCCCCTACTGATCGTGAAATCCCCTTTTTTTATTTGCATGGGTGTCCGATCTGCTGTGCTCGGTTGTGCTCGGTTGGGGTGCAGCAGTGTCCGTGCGCTTCAATCTCACTCCTCTTCTGTGTGCGTGGTTGTTTTCGCAAAGTCCCAGTGGACGACAGGCTGAGAGTGTCCCCGTCGCAATGGATAAAAAATGGTGATTGCTTGACAATAACAAGTATTTTTTCCTTTTAATATTGATGTTTTTGTCCGATATCCTGAGCATCCCCCTTTATGCGTGTTTGAGACCTTTGAAAAAATTAACAAAAAATCATTGCCCACGGAGCATCGCTGCCTGAAGATGATACCGTACAGTATGAGCTTCCAGTGCCACCGACGGACTGATCTCAGAATCGTCGCATCGGCTCCGACCTTGTTTCATTTCAGACCTGACAACTGTCAAGTGACGAAATTGACGAATAACAGTTTTGCAACGCTTGCTCGGCGAAGGACCTGCGCAGTGCAATGCCCAAAGCAAATCGTCGCAAGCAGTTGCAGGCCCTCTCCGAGCCGCCGGTACTGGAGGAGGGCCAAAAAGTGGCACGAGTAATAGCCGCATGCGGCGAAAACAATTACGAAGTGGAGGATGAACATGGGGCGAAAACTCTCTACCAACTACCGAAGCGCATGCGCCACGTCGTGTTTATTAGGAGAGGGAGCTACGTCTTCGTGAAGGATGATGAGACGCGAAAAGACGGACGCGTGCGCGGAGATATTGAAGTGGTCGTGCTGACCCACTTCTTACATGGTATAAGTAAGGAGCCGTATTGGCCGCGCTCGTTTAAGGGTGAGGAGGACAACACGGAGGACATGCCTGCGATTGTGTCAGAGGGTGCGGGTGGAAATTCGGAGGAGGAGCCTGGTCATGGAGATGAGCAATGGGAGATTGGTAGCGGAAACCCAAACAGGGCACAATGGCAAGACCAGAGTTCTGACGAAGAGAGCGACTAGTGAGCACACGGCCTTCATCCATGCACGTTTTCAAGGCAAGCTGAAGGGCCTCGAGGGATCTTATCGATTTTTTTTTCGAAGTGTTAACATTAGATCTAGAGAAGGAGGCTATAACCAGTGTCCTAGTCTTTGAATGACCCTGGCCGTGATCCCATATTCTCCGGCACCAGCAATGTCTCTTGAACAACAACTTAGTTGGGTGCAGGCGTCTGTCACGCATTCTAACCTTGGAAACGCACTGGCTACCCCACGGAATGTGAAGGCGAAGTTTCCGGAGGCTAGGGATAATTTTTCCTGTACTCGGCAAGCGCCCAAATGGGGAAGATGTTGCGATACTGCGAATACGAAATCATGCAGTTGCGATTGAAAACGCCGCAAATGTTTTGCTGGGGCCAATCCCCGTTTTCATCCTGTGAGCGAATGAGAAACTGGGAGGCCTTCTCAAGAGGTTCCCTGTCAGGCCAGCGAGCCATCGATAGCGCAACAAGAGCCCATCCTGTGCTGACAACTAAGCTCTCTTCCGATTGCGTGTATACCATTGTTTCCGAGCTGAGGTAGCTCTCGCCCCACCCTCCATCCTCCCTTTGCTTGTTCAGAACAAATTGGCACGCACGCTCCATAGAGGGGCTTGTCTCAAGCGTCAATCCCATCGACGTGTATGCGTCTATGGCAAACCAAATCGCGTAAAGGAAACATATGCCCCAGCTACCGTACCACGACCCATCTTGCTTTTGGATCGACTCTATGTATCTGATCCCTTTCGCCAAGGACTCGTTCAATTTGGGTACAAGCGGATGGTCTGGAAACTCCGCGCGAAACTCTCCAATCCCCTTGAGCGCGGACGCCGTGCATTCAACGTAAGAATAATCGACCATGATGTCGCCAAACACTTCTGATGGGTTAAGGAATTCCAACCATGCCGGGCCGCGCTGCAACTCGTATGTAGCCCAACCGCCGTCCGGGTTCTGATAGCTCAGAATCATCTTGACGGCGTCTTGCAGCCTGTCGTTGCTGATCATCTTCTTCTTCGGAATCCACGTGCCCTTCTTCCCCTGCAGCAAGAGTGCGGCGGCCAGGCCCTCCCCCGTGCAGTCAGCGATAGGCCAGCCATGATCCCTAGTACTGAACGGCCACGCGCCCTTGCTCATATGCCGGTAAAACCTCTCCCGGTTCGGTACATCTACGAGCACCTGCGTCATCTCCACGTAATCATGCGCCAAGGACAGTGTCTTCGTAAAAGGCTCAACAATGTCCCGGCCCGCGGCCATAAACGCCTGACTCGCAAACGCCGTGTCCCACAGCTGCGACCCGTTGTACCCCTGCATCTTCATGCCATCCTCCGCCAGCCACAGGTAGTCCGTAAGGCGGTCGCGATGCTTGTCCACGGCCACGCCATCCGGGTCATCAAACCATCTGCACAAGAAATTAATAACCTTGTTCACCGGGCCGATACAAATATAGTTTGTATTCTCATCCTCCGCCGTGATCTGCATCAAAGTCTCCTTCAACGCGCGTTCCCTCAGCCACTGCTTCCCTGGAAACCAGATGCTCTCCCACAGCGCCAACGCGCCCCACAACACGCGCTGCAGCTTCGGCCTCCGCACGTAAACATCCTCCTCGCAGCACCTTCCCCTCCACGCCGGCCACTCAATGCTCTCGTACGGCTCCTCATACAGCTCCTCCCGCAACTCCCGCACGAGCTCCGTGACCTCCCCTACCGCCCTCCTCCCGTACAGATAGCTCATGGGCAAGTACACGACGCGACAATGGCACCAAAACCGGGCGGGATGGCACGGGAGCGCATACGGCAGGAGCCAGAACTCCGGCGTGAGCGGGTCCATGCCCTGCCACTCGTAAACGCCGAGGACGGCCAGCCAGAACTTGCCCCAGCCGGGGCAGCCAGCGGGGCCGCCGTGTGCGCGGATCCATGCGCGCGCGCTCCGCGAATCAGAGTCGGCGCTCCCCGCGCCGAGGATGCGCATGGCGACGTAGTTGAGTGCGGTGGAAAACATAGTGGACTTGTGCTCGATGTGCAGGCCGAAGCCGCCGTCGGGGTTCTGGTGGTTGCGCAAGTAGCGCAGCATCTCTGCGCGGTGGGCGGGCGGCAGGGGCGTGCGGGACACGTAGCACGCGATGACGAGCCCCGGCAGCAGGAACATGGGCCCTGCGTAGTCGCCGGCCCAGTGGCCGTCGCCCGTCTGCAGCGTCGCGAAGAAGGACAGCCCCTTGTGCAGCGCGGCCGCGCGGGCGTCGCGCCGCAGCCGCGCGGGCACGGGCGCTAGCGCGCCGCACGTCGGGTTGCCAAGCAGATGGCCGTGCGACGCTAGCGCGCGCAGATAGGCGTCCGATGAGTGCGCGTGCTTCGACGACGCGTACGCGGCGCGCGCGGAGGACAGGGCCGCAGACAGGGCTGGCGAGGTGGCGGCGTCGGCGTCGGTCGTCCACCATTGGCGGCCGCGATCGACATTTAGACGCCACATGTTGCGGAGGGAGGGGTGGGGGGAGTGGCGGGATGGGGAGGATGAGGGAGGGAAGAGGAGGGAAGAGGAGGGAAGAGGAGGGAAGAGGAGGGAAGAGGAGGGAAGAGGAGGGAAGCGGAGGGAAGAGGAGGATCGAAGAGGATCGGGGTGTAGGGAGGTAGTGCAGGGAGGTAGTGCAGGGAGGTAGGCGGAGTAAGGTGGACCCTTTCCAAATGGCATAAAGGAGCGTTGTATCGAAGGCGGTCTTGTCCTGTTAATCTCCCTTGCGTCCCTTTTCCCCAGATATGTGCCAGAGGTGAATGGAGGACGACGAAACGTGTCCACGTGCAATATTTGGATTGTAGCTAAGGCGGCCGTGGTCGGTTGCAGGAACACGATGTCAGAAAAAGAGACACCGTTGAGGGAGCACAACAACACTGCGGCCTCCTGCGAGACGTGAAGCAGTGGCTGAGAGGGAACGCGCGTTGAAGGAGACTTCGATGCAGATCACGGCGGAGGATGCAAACTACAAGTACACAATAGGCACCCCTCAATAGTTCGCCCCCCTGCCAGGACCCAAAAATGCGAACTATTGACAGAACAAACTATTAAGATCGCATTGCTGGCATAGGTCCTTTACTCAAAATGCTCGGAAATGAGCGTCTGCCGTGTTCTCTTTCTCGTCTGCTCTCGGTAGGTCTTTTTTCAACAGGATATCTCCAATTTGCAACGCTCGACAGCAGAGAACCGAACCTGAGAGCGGCAGCTTTGCTCCGCGAGCAATCTGCACAAATTCATAAAGTGTGGCATCGATCTCGGGATATTTAGATGCCTTGAGTGCTTTGAACTGTGTGTTAGATGGGTTTTTATGCACAGCATTGAGAATTCGTACAGAATTCTTACGGATCTTTTGTATTGTTCGCGGATTGCAACCGAAACGAGTTGCTGCATCTCTCACGGTGAAACCGTTACAGAGCTGGTGAATAATATCTGCTTTTTCGGAGAGAGTCAATCTTTTGCGCATGCTTTTGACAGTCGGTGCGGAGTTCAACGTCATTGCGCGCAATAGAGAGATTACGCCTGGGTATTTCTGCAATGATTTTTCCAAAATTCTGCAATACGTATTACAGTTGTAAATAGTTGCAGAATTCTGCAAATCACTCGTGACATTAATTGCTGAATAGTGGGGTCTTACAGAATACCCAACTGCAATTGACGTGAGCAATTCCACGGGCATGCGCGCCAAAATAGGTAGGACTCGCCGCCATCGTCAACCCCTCAGGGCATGAGTCACCCACAAAATGAGTCACCAGCACCCCGATCCTCCCCCGATCCTCCCTCACTGCGCCATGGCTACAGTCATCATCGACACTCCGTCCAGCCCCAAGCCCACCGCCGATGCATCCAAGCCGGCCGCCGACACCACGCCTAGCAAGTCGAAGCCCGGCCGGCAGTCGCGCTTCTCGCCTAGCGAGGACCTCGTCGTTGTGCGTGAGGTCGCTGCGGCGAACGCGCACGTCGCCACGTACGGCGAAACGCGAGCGCGCTTCGAGCAGGAACAAGCAAGCCGCCCTCCCAGCAGTGTGCCCTTGGTAATACTCATGGTTCCATCACGGGACCGTCGGCGTAAATCAAAATTTGGGAATTTGTTTCTACGTTTCGGAAACACATTTCCGCAATTGCGGGGATGATTTACTCACGAGTTATTTGCAGAATTGTTCCAGGCGTAATATCTGAAATGTGGACGGCTGCGGGGCGGGATGAAGAAGAGATTATACTCGTGCTCTTGGAGCATAAACAATTTAAGGGAGGACAGTGGCGGCCGCGCCGGTCTGAATAGGTACAAGTGTACACGTCTGAGAAGCCGTGACATCGTCAGAAAAGCGAACTATTGGCGCAACGAACTATTCAAGTGCGAACTATTGAGGAGCCCTCCCCCCCCCCCTGTACAGTATTTGTATCCGCGTGCTCTCTGAAAATGCTACAGTAGGTCTCAAACGCAGATCCTCGCTGCGTGCAGCAAGATTTACTTCACATGCAGAACAAAGGTAAAATATGTATGCACTTGGTCTTTACGAAGTTTCTTGATAATCATTGGCCATCCTCAGTCTTTTCGAAAATTTCGTTATGATAAACTAGAACATGGGCAACTGTAAACTGATATCACTATTGTTCCGTTCCACAACCATTCGGCTCTTCCAAAAATCTTCCGCAAGAGACGCACCCGAAATCCGCCACCTCCCTCTCCCATCCGCCCGCGTGAGAGACAACAGCTCATGTGAGCTGTTGTCTGTGTGAACACACCCCCTATTTCCAGGTGCACCACACAGTGCCACCCTTCTCACTCTCCCCCCCGCCACTTCGCCGCCCACTTCCGCCCAACTCCCGCCGCTCCTCATGCGCACTACACCCATCCATCTGACCCGCCAGCATTTGCCCCTTTCCCGTCCGTCCCGGCCCTCACTCACCCTTCCAGTACTCTCCCTGCCCAGTTCCTCCCCCACATGCCTCCCCGACTCCCGGGTCCAGCCGGCAAGTGCTGCAGAGCACCTTCGACGCGATCGTGCGGGAGCACATATCTGATTTCGGCCAGACCCCTGCGGAGGCGGTGTCCGACGCGCGCGCCCAGCTGACCGCCGCGGGCCTCACGGACTAGTCCAACCTCTCGGACCCGACATCGTCCGGCCCGGCGGACGTACAACAGCGCGCCGCGGAGCTCTTGGCTGCGCTGCGGGCAGACCTGGCCTTCCCGTGCGACGCAGTCACCGCGGAGCGCATCGCACGCCCCCTGCAGGCGGCGGAGGCGGCGCTAAGCAGGGCGGCGCCCTGGGCGGCGCACACAAAAGCCGGTGCACAAGAGGGCAGCAAGGGAGCCGAGAAGGCGGAGGTGGAAGAAGACGAAGCGGGCATAGCGCGGCTGCAGGATCTGCAGGACCAAGGCGACGGCGGCCGCGAAGTGCACGGCCAAGGGGCAGGCCTGGAGAGTTGTGCTACCCGGACGACGAAAGAGGGGATTGTGTTTTCGCGTGTGGACATTCAGGCGTGCTGGGATCATGGTTACGGCGTTTACGCACTACGTTTATGAAAGAGAGCAAAGGGCAAGTTGCACGCACAATCAGTGAAGCGTCCGAGACACGCCCGAGATGTAGTTTTAGTCGGACTCATCTGTGTGGTTGATGGATCTGAATTGCATCTCCACTCGGCGACGACGCTTTTCGCGATAACGCCTTTGCACCTGGCGCCGTTTTTGAATTTGAGATGTTGCTATATGATAGCGGCGGTTCTTCATCGTCCTCAAAATTTTGGAGTCCTCAGCGCGTAGAGGATTCTTGTGTAAATGAAAGTTTGTCAGTCCCACACATAAACGAAAAATACTGTCATAACCCGCCTCACTCCATTTCCACTTCGCTGCCATGACATTCCAAAGACCACAAAGCCTTCCAAAAAAGTTTTCCACTATAATTCTATCGCTTGAAATGTGCCTGTTATTAGAAACCTCGGCTTGCGTAAGTGTTCCATTGATCGGTTTTTTGGTCGGATGGATCACACGACAGAACTCCTTAGCCCCATAGTATCCTTTATCGCACAGTACAGCCCAATAGTTTGGGAACTCATTCGACAAGGGCCCATCATCCTCTATGTCATTTTCACCTTCCCCTTCACCTTTGCGAAGTTGTTTCGAGTGAAAGGGTAGCATGGCCTCGAATATTTTTAAGTCTGACACTGACCCAGGCTCGTGAGCGCTGCAACCTAAAGCAAGGCCATTTGGCAATACCGAGACCTCAGTCTTGTAGCCATACAATTTATGTTTCCCGCTATAGTACAGCTTGCCTTCCTCCACGCTGCCACTCGGGCGGAAACTTTGCTGGAATGTCACATCAGTGGCATAACGCGCAACAGGGTAGTTTTTAAACCCGACTTTCTTGCTCTCCATGACGGCCATTTTCCATTTCTTACCTTGATATTCCACATAGTGATGGAAGACCGGATAAGAGATTATGTCTACAAATTTCATAATCATTCGCTCAAACGTAGGACCTTTCAAACTGAACATCTTGGCCAAGAAGTCCCATTGGCCTCCATGTTTTAATACAGAGAGTGTCATAAACAGGACATCACGTGGAGTATGGGAGCATTTGCGTCCACGCCCTGCATTGTACCTCTCTTTGATGGCCTTTTCCAGGCTGCACCAAGTGGAATGGAATTCTGTCGGACTGAAGTTGGTCATCTGTATGACGGCGGCAGCGCCCCCCTTTTCGTAGAACTGATCATAAATGGGGGACTCACTTTCTACCTCATCGTCCGTATCGACGGCGTCAGAGTCTGACGCATACTCCTCCAGGTCTGCACGGCGCTCCACGGCGGCATCGGAGAGCAGGAGTAGAGCTCTTGCAGCCTGCGTGGGGGTCACAGATGCCATATTATGGCGCTTGTGAAAAGGTGTGGGGTCAAGGAGGGAGAGGGAGTGGATTGGTGTGGTTTTAGTGCGGTGGGGTGCTGTGCGGGCGCGCGATGTTGACATGTTTCCGAAAGACCAGAGCCTATTGCAAAAGACCGCCCTTTTTTGAACTGGACCGATAATTTTCGTAAATCATTACAGCTCAGGTTATGACAAAGTCGATCGAAAACAGATCTAGTGGACCTGACAATACCACGTATTCATACAAATATTTCGAAAGTACTGATATACTGGATCAGTTCCAATTGCGCAGTACTTTTACTGTAGGAATCAATGTGATTTCGTGTGCGACAGGTGTTTGCACGAAAGGTCTAGTATATCACAGGGTATCATATCCTAACGCATACAAGAGATTTCACTGTACTCTTGAAAATACCTTATCAAAGCGTAATTTATCATAGAGGCGATGATACTGTACGGTGATATGGTATGATATGGCACGCGCGTGAAGAACGCGTCGCGGCGGGATTGGCTGTGTCGCCACGTGGGCGAGCTCCTACACGAAACATGAAAATACTTTACAGTGCCCTCACGATGACTGCAATCCCTTATGGAGCATACT